TCACCAGATAATTAATTCACCAGATAATTAATTCACCAGATAATTAATTCACCAGATAATTAATTCACCAGATAATTAATTCACCAGATAATTTAGAGGCGGTCTGTTTGGTGAGTTTCACCACTCCAGGAGCTGTGAGACAATGAACTTTTTTTAATCCTGAGCCCAGTTTAACACGGCGGTCAGTTTAAGGCGATGCTGAGCCACATCGCTGCTGAGATCTCCTGTCAGAACACAAACTAGTCGAGTTCAGCCAAAGAGCTGCTGTCCGTCTGGGTCAGGTTAGTGGGCAACATTCAGGAAACATCCCATGGAAAAATGAGTCTCTCTGATTGGTTGCTGCGGCGCATCGAGCAGTAAATTTCAACTTTTTAAACTTGAGTAGCGGCTCCTTTGGACGTGCTGCATACACAAAAAATGCTCTGCTGCATCCTACCACTACCTCGCACGCTGCACTAAACTGGAAAAACACGCTGCGCTGCGCCTACATGCGTGTCCACCACAGACACTGCATGGAAACTGGCTGCTTTGGCTGCTCAAACTGGTTCTGGTGGGAAGCTGGCTTTAGAGCAGGTTTACCTGTAGATCAGACCACTGACAAACATGGAGAGCTGCGGCCCGATCACTGTCACCACAGAGGGCGCCATCAGGTTGGAGGCAGAGAAAACCCCATAAATGATGGCCATGCTGCACACAGTACAGGACAAATACAGTACAGTGGAAAAACTCTGAATGTTACTGTGGAAATACTCTGAGGTTACTGTGGAAATACTCCGAGGTTACTGTGGAAATACTCTGAGGTTACTGTGGAAATACTCCGAGGTTACTGTGGAAATACTCTGAGGTTACTGTGGAAATACTCTGAATGTTACTGTGGAAATACTCTGAATGTTACTGTGGAAATACTCTGAGGTTACTGTGGAAATACTCTGAGGTTACTGTGGAAATACTCTGAGGTTACTGTGGAAATACTCTGAGGTTACTGTGGAAATACTCTGAGGTTACTGTGGAAATACTCTGAATGTTACTGTGGAAATACTCTGAATGGTACAGTAGAAGTACTCTGAATATTACAGTAGAAATACTCTGAATGGTACAGTAGAAATACTCTGAATGGTACAGTAGAAATACTCTGAATATTACAGTAGAAGTACTCTGAATATTACAGTAGAAATACTCTGAATATTACAGTAGAAATACTCTGAATATTACAGTAGAAATACTCTGAATGTTACAGTAGAAATACTCTGAATATTACAGTAGAAATACTCTGAATATTACAGTAGAAATACTCTGAATATTACTGTGGATTTATTATAAACTGTAATTTAATGATCCTCTGAACAGAGAGCAGGTTTCAGTCTAGATTATTTTGTAAAGCTGACGTCTGTTTTCAGAGACAGTTTTGTGTATTTTACCTTGTGTAACCGCTCCCATGAAACTCTGAGCTGTTGAAGCTTTTTATGATGGTTTGCTGTAAAAACAAAAGAACATTTTAGATCAAAGTTTGAGTATTTGTAGCGGAGCACCATTAAAACCAACCCACCTCGATGTTTCCACATGTTTGAAACGCTGTGAACATGAACATGAAGCCTAAACCCAGGATGACGATGTTCAGGAGCTTCTTCCCCTCTGGACCCATTTCTGAAGAGCTCTGCTATTAAAGTCCAATTAAAAACACAGAAGAAGAAGAAGAAGAAGAAGAAGAAGAAGAGGAGGAA